TCTCCTTGTTTAACACCTCAGCTTTTTACACTTTAGAATAAACAATTTCCATGAATTGCCAGCGGAGTTTCTTCATGTTTTCACTTTCGAAATTAATCAGTTTCAAGTCCGACTTTTTTCACATCACTCGTTTAATCTATGTTCACCGCATAAATCCAGTTTGGTTCTGTAATTTCCACACTGATTTGATTCTCGATCGCGAATGGTATTAATAATGGGCAATGGTTGAGCGGCTATTGAGCCAGATTAACCCGAATCAGGGCTGGGCTTAAGTCGGTGGTGCTAGTGCTTTATGGCTGACACTCCGCGGTTTTAATTTCGACTTTATGCGGCGATGATGACGACGACAATGACGACTCGCGGTACTAAAACGCCATTGTAAAGTGGTAAATACTCGGGCGGCGCACCGTAAAAAACGCCAAGCGCCAAAACCAGAACAACAGCCTTAAAGAGGTATACACACAGATACTCTGCAGTGCTGCTGTGTGTGTGTGCGCTGTGCTGGTGTGTGTGATTGGGCCAGTGTGCGAGAGTGAGGCGAATACGAAATCACCACTTTGCGCCGCTCTGCGAGTGGAAATCTCTTGGTTTTCGGTTGCCTTGCTCTCTCTCTCTCTGTCGCTCTCGTGATTTCCTCCTGACTCCCAGGACCCCTCTTGGTTTTCCCCCTCGCCATAGGCGTAGAAAATTGAAAATTCGAATTCGGTGGACGTGGCTGCTTTCCATGGGGAATGGAAATGATGGAAAAGCGGAGAAGACACCCCGAAGAGGATTCCACACCTGACATACACATCAAATCGATAAAACCGAACACCTTTCTAGGCACTAAAACCCAGAGCCTCAGGAGCGATAGCCGAAACCAAAGGTAAATTAAGCCACGACGACCGTTAAACAAAATCTCAACTAATCTCAGGATGTGAGGGGTTTTTTTTAAACGAAAATATCGCGTAAATCACATTATTTATGAACTTTTTTGACTTATGATTTGAAATGACCAAATAAAGCTAAAGCTTAGAAAACAGGATGCATACATTCATCAGTCGAATAGATCAATGTTTTAACCTTTCCAGATGAAGAGATTAATGACAAATTCTAGCTAAAATGATATAATCTTACTATGGGGGTCACCGAGGTCTCTTTTTCAGGATGCCACCTAATTTTATTAGTTCAAAGAATTCAAATTCGAAATTAGGACCAATATAATTTTCGATTGATAAGCAACCATTATAAAGAATTGTGTTTGGTGACATAAGCGAACCTTGATAAGAAATAACTTCGCTTGTCTTTCATAATTTCCGAGTAGCCAGACTTAAGTTTGAAAACAATTTCCACGATTCATTTGGGTTTAGTGGAATCCAAATTATGAGCCAATAATTTACGATTCGATTCAGTGAGCTTGAAAATATTTAGCAATTTGCCGAAATGGCACTTCCACTTCGTCCTTGCCAATAATTTGTTTTCCTTTCTGGCTGGGCAAAGAAAACTCCCCCAAAGGCTGTCGGCCATCTTGAACGGACATTTTCCGATGGTTTGGCTTTGTCTGGGTTTTAATGGTGGTTCAGGGTTTCTGAATTCTGGGTCCTGGGTTCTGGGTTATGGGGTTCGCAGCCCAGTTCTTGGGCTACTGTGTCGTGTCCTCGCTGACAAAAGACGGCTGCTAATCGGACTGGGCGATACATTTAGGAAATTGTGCACCATTTCGGCATTTTCGCATTTTCAGGGAGGCGGGCGAACATTTACGACTTATAAATTATCGTTGTTTTTCCTTTAGTTTCGCTGCCGGCCGCAGGACACCCAGAAGGACCAGGGAATGGGTGCGACCAGAGGTCTTTGCTCGGGGCTTAGGACTCAGGACTCCAGACATTGGTTGCTGCTGATTGCGGAGTTTTGGGACATTAAGACAGTGACAGGCGCAATTTATGGCCTCCGCAGTTGCCGGCCACAGGGCTTGGCACTCATTCTCCTCGCCTGCCAGTCGCATTTAATTCTGAGGGCGGACTCACACATGGGATCCTTGGACTGGGCTTGGTCTCCGCCTGCCAACTAATTTCCAATTTAACTAATGAAAAATAGAATTTCTGAGCGGAAAAACCCCATGCTCGTGGCCCAAGTAAATGCTTCAAATGAAGCGTATAGCAACCGAAATTGGTAAAATCCCAAGCTCGCTGGCATTGAAAATTAAAATTCTGGGAAAGATACGGCTGAACGGGGTCATCTGGGGCACGCTCCTTGACAACATTTTAAAAAATCTCACTTTTTTGGTTTTGGTTATTGACATTAAAGATCTTGAAACTGATAATGCCGTGGGCATGCCTTTTTTCTTAGTACAAAAATTTATTCAAATTAGAATAAAAATGTAATTATTATTCATAAATATTATGCTGTGGTTTCCATATTATTGATAATGTTTAATTCAACATTTTAAAATTAATTGACATTTCTTTATCATACACATAATTTGAGACATTTTTTATTTCACTCCACACTTCGACACAATCTGCTTTTCCGCCCAGCTTCAAACCATTAAATTTGTTATGCAAATTACATTTTTGATTTTTTTAAGCGCGCCATTAAATCCATATGGTTTTATTATAATTTGTTCTTCTTCGGCGGCATTTGTGGGCTTGGCTGTGTATCAAAGACGTGTTCTGAAGCCCAGGCAATGCATTTGACATCAGCTGCCCGGGAGCCATTTTAATGTTTGCCGAAAAATGTAATTTCCGTCGTCATCGTTTTTTGCCTTGGCCATAAAAGAGATGCACAACTTCATCGGCTCATCAGCGTTAAAAATGCGATGGCGATTTCGATGGCGGAAGAGGCAACAAAGACGTTTGGAAAATGACACGGTTAATCAAGCGGAAGTGGATGTAGAAGCGGAGGAAGCAAGGGGTTGAATGGGATATCCTTTTATCCCTGCCAGCCCTTCGAGAAATCACTCATACGCCCCGTGGCAGCAGATCCAAGATGCGCCAGCAGCAAACACTATTCAACACTGCCGGCCGTTCTGGAAGCCCTGTGTTAAGTTTTAGTATTTTGTTTAATTGGCTATAACCGTTTTTTACAATCGGACAGTCACTAGGAATACCCATTTCCCCCTACTCCCCATTCCCCACCAAATGAGCTCTGTCTACCAAAGCCGACCCTTCGCTATTTACTCACTGCAGTAGTTAAAACGGCTGTAGGTCTTAGGGCTGGTACTTTTATGGAGTCCGCTTGGATTGTAACCAAACTGTTGTGGCCCATTCGCGAAACGGAATATTATCGGCGATCCAAACTAATTGAGACATAAACTTAATTTGATGGCTGATTTCATAAAAACGACATCGAGTTCTTGAATCAATGCAACGTGTTGTGGGAATCCGAATTGCGTGAGCCGTCGGCATTGCAAACAACTTTAATTTACATAACAAAAAAAGGCAGAGGGGTAACAATAGAGTAAGTGAAGCGAGCTCATTATGCAAATAAACAAATGACTATTCACATACATTTATTATCATGAACTGTTAGGCCATAAAGCACGTTCATACACTTTTAGGTCATTTTATGGCAGACCCTAGTGTTTGTTGGTTGGGAAAGAGAGTAGCATTCTGATTTATCATTTGTTATGGCCCAATGGGTACACAAACCGGCACACACTCGTATTCCGAACAAGTTTTTTAGATTGATGATTAATAGGGGTAATTTGTCATTATTTTAAAGAACATTTCCAACAACTATAACACTCTTATGGACAGTCTATACTCAGATTTATTTATGTTTTTTTCATACTTATTGGGAATTGATTCAAATATGTTTACACAGATATATATATATATATATGACATATACTTTTTTAGGGTAATAATTTTAATTGTGTCAAATTAATACTATCCAAAAGTTAATGCGTTATTAGTTAATAAACTAACTTTTTAGGATGGCACATTTTATGAACCTATTTAATTCATATTTGACGATTATTATTGAATTGTGAAAGCAGACCCAAATTTCCATTAAATTTTTAAAGCTTTTTAAAATATAGATAGTATTTAAAGACACTTTGAAATGTAGTTTCCAAGCAACTGAAAGTAACAAAGTGTAAAAGTGGGCTGCAATGGATACTATCGGCTTTCCTATTATAGAAAGCCATATCCTACAGATGTGACCTGCTGTGATAATGATGAAACAGGCTCCGGATGCCTCATCCTCATCCTGCAACTACTCTCAGATGGGATGGGTCCGGATGGGTCTGCTGCTGCTGATGATAAGTAAAGATACTCTCGTCCAAACAAAGGGGCTATAATTTATGTAAATGCGAGGAGGAGACCCAACAACAGCACCAGCATGACGTTCGCCGAGGAATCGTGTTTCGAGGTTTGGGGTCTGGCAAAATGGTGGCTCAGGCGGTTGCTTCAGGGAGACCAGGGTAAGGGATTGGAATTGGAAGACCGTGGACTCTGGCTGCGGGATGGGATGGAAGATTGCTGCGACTGCGACTGCCCGCACCTCGCCTTCAATTACAAACACATAAATTCTCATTTCCATTTGACACATGACATCCCATAAAACTTGTTAAAAAGTACGGCCACAAAGGCCCAACCTCTCGTTTTGGGTCTGGCCTGCAACGGAGATGGGATTGGGAATGGTATTGGGTATGGGATTGGATTGATTGGATTGCCGAGGGACACACACAGAAAACACTGCATCCAAAATGGTAAATTCTGCCTCACAATCTCAACGACCCCTTGGCCATAAAAAGACGAGGGTTCCCTCTTTATTTTCTTTACGGACGCCGAATGATATCAGATTTCTTTTCATTTCTGTGCCTTTCATTTCGGTCCGTTTCGTTTCGTTTTGGCTGTGACTGTGAATGTGGATTTCGGTGCGGAGATGAAGTAAAATGGCGGAGTCGCATTAAGCGCGGCCTTTTATGGAGTCCGCCCAAAGCTGCGTACAAAGCGGGACTCATTATATAAATCTCATTGATCCGCCATTAAAAGATACACTTTAAATGTGTAGCCGCGGGGAGTGCAACTAAGACGAACTGTGGCTTTTAATGGGCTTGGCCGCAAGGTCTGCAGCACTTACATTTCTAGGAAAGTGTTCGAAAGAGATTGGAGCGACAATGAAAACGGTATAAGAAGTCCCCAAAAACAAAATCACTATTGAAACTCTTTGGCCATGCCAAACAAAGTATCTAAGCGAATAATCTACCCCCAAAAAGGGGAATCCACTTTGTGACAGACATTCGTATAAGCTTCCCAAACATTTGATGCCATAAAAACGAAATTGACATTTTCGCAAAGTCCGCTGCTGGCAATAAATTTGCTTCTTTCTGGCATTTGCGTTTATTTCTACTCATTTCTTTGGCATTTGCAGACAAAAGGAGCTGCCGTCGACATTGTAAGAAGCCCTGGAATATACTGTATGTATTGTCTCGGGAAGAGGGTCACTTTGGAGCTGGCTTTTACGAGTTCACGTAGCCGGGGATCCGAGTCCGACGATTTGGATTTACGAGGACGCTTAGATTTCGCGGGCGATGGAGCACAAACCGTTACTGCCGCACGTGTACGTCCGCCGGCAATTGTGGAAAGCGTTTTTCGATTGCCATCCTGCGGAGATCCAATGGATTTTAAATCTACCCGAAACCGATCTGCGACCGCCGGAAAACACATGTTGCACACCGCTGGGCTCGCAAGCCGCACTGATTTGCATCCTGGCCCGGTGAAACCGAACCGCACCCACGCAAGACTTTCGACCTTGAGGCCACCACACTGCTCAGTATCTCACACAAAGGACTCAACTCTTTTCATAGCCTCCAAATGGCTTTAGAAATCGGATCGTAATAGCAGTGCATTTGCTTCAAGGACAACGCCGCACATCCTTTCATTACGCAATGTTACGCTCGATCGACGAGGCCGCATTTGGGCCAAGGTCGTCGTTTAATGTTAATGGTAATGCTAGATCGTAAAGATTTGCCGAGATTCGAATGGAAATAAAGGGGTGCAGATGTGCAAGGGTTATTTGAGTGTATATACATATCTTTAATTTATGCTAGATAATTGTTTTTTTTAATTGTTTTTCTCTAAAGAGTTGGTTTGAGTTGCAGATTTTTTAAGCTGAGCTTTCATAACTCAAACTTTTCTAGCTTGATGTCCTTGGACTTTGCCTTGGAAACTATACCTTTTGTTGGCAAATAGTAGTTCGAACAAGTTTGATGAAATCCGACTGTGCTCAATTGTTAATTTCAAAATATTAAATTTTTAAGTAATTAATGAGATGTACTGGCTGCAAACATAGTAATAAATCAAAAAATATTCATTTAACTTAAAAAAGAAAATAAATTTAAGAAAGTTAATTTTTTAACATTAATTTTATTCAAAGTCCGTCCATACGAAAGGGATTACCAACGACTGAAATTCTACCATTAAAAAACGTTAGGTGAGGTTCTTACCTAGCAATATATTTCGAAGTTAATGTCAAAACTAATTACTATTCACCGCATTTTCTAACGCCAACCTTAACATTTTTTTTTGGTTACCTATTAATTTTTTTTACTTAAAACATTTTTACTCTTTTGAGTAAAGAACTTTATTTTATTTTTTCCTAAAGAATTATTTTGTTACTGTTTTTAAAAGGATTAACCTTTATAGAGATAGTCTTCCTTCTGTATATTAAGAAATTGGGTAATTTTCAGTGGGATTTTTAAAACCGGTAGTTATTAACGTTAAGTAAAAATCCGTTATCTCAAAATTGGGTAGATTACGTTTATGTGTACATGTGTATGGCTTCAACTCGGCGGCCATCATGGATTTAGGCTCCGCCCCTTTTGTATACTAAATTTGAGCAGTCTTATACTATTTCGACAGAGTCTTATACGCTAGGTGGCGCTTGTAGAAGAAAACATATCCATGCTCACCATGAGGTGAACTTTTTGTCTTCCCTTAATAATTGGTTTGTGACTTCACTAAAAGCTCTTTTTGTAGCTCACACCTTGGGGCATGAGCTTTTAATACTCCCGAAAAGTATGCCGCACTTTTTTTGTGTTAATGCTCATACCAGTGTTGATTAATGGAATTTTGTTTCGGCTAATATTATTTGAATTTGCGCGCCAAACAACAAGTAAAAAATATTATTAATATCTAACAGTAGACAAGTTAATCAAATGAATATAATCTTAAAAATGTACATAAAGCATTAAAAAACCTTTTCGTTTTTCACTAACTCTTAAAATGATTTTATTATATTAGCAAATGATACAGCGTGTTTATATTCAATAATAGCAACGTAGTTCTAAGCGATTTGTGCGATTTTTAAATATATTTTAAATTAAGAATATTTGTTATTTTGAACACAAAATATTACAAAATCATACTTTTTCAAAGAATTTTAAATTAGTCAATAAATACTCAAAAAAAAATGTTTTTAGAGACAAACATACAAAACGTTGTTTTGTAAAAAGAGGGTTAAATTAAAATATTTTTTCCCTTGTTAAAATAACTGTTATCAGGTCAAATTCGCACAGATCTGGCAGCGCCATGTATCTGCACGCCATTGCTTCCTCGGCAAGCCCCGCCCACTGTCGCAACGAAACGATATAAAAACGTATCTGTATCCGCATGAGCTGCAACAATGTGTGCGGCCATTAGAGACACAGATACGCACACAGAAAGACACTCATAGCGATAAGGTGGTGGAATCGCTGGCAATGGTTGATAGATAGATAAAGAACACAATGCCGAGGGGTGGAAAGTGGGGGTGGAGAGCGTGGCTCCATTTTGCGGAATTGGATTAAGCGGCGGCGGTTCTTAAGTGCCGCCATTCCATTTCCCTCAATGTGTGCCTGGGCTTTTATGGCCGTACGTGATCTTGTAGAGCGAAGGTCCCCGACAAGCCGTGGGAACTTCGCAGATGCCATCAACGGCGAATGGCCACCGGAAATCTGTTTCATCCCTGCTCTGCTCCCTAAACGAATTGTTGCAGAAGGATTACTACAAATAGTATCACGCTCTGCCAAATAGTGCAGTCAAATTAAAAAGAACATAAAGCACGGCTATGATAACATTGTCGTTCTTAATGGACCATTTACTGCCTTGAGATGCATGGGAAGGCACGCAGAACGATATTCTTTTCTTCCCTTGAATGCCAATTACATTCATGAAAATGCAATATTAAACTTGATTACAATGTAAGATATTCATTTCCGGTTCAATGCCGACAAACCCTATACATAGATTGCTTTTATTAATTTCTTCATAAAAACAAGATTAAAAAAAATGGGACAAAACTGTATTTATTTAAGAGCGATTTTAATGCTCCTATGAAATATTTTTGGCGTTTTGACTAGTTTTTAAAAGCAATGAAGTGTCACAGAAATCGAAGGTTTTGGGTTGGTTGATAACCAACCGAAAATCCGTCGGTATCACAAAATCTTTAAAGTTTTTAAGTGACTTTAGGTAAAATGTGGCCTTAATTATAAAACAATTTATAAACAGCTAACTATTGAAACGTATTCTGCAACATTTACATTTTATTTTGTAAGAAAAGTTTTCTGTGTCACCTATAAACTTTTTGCTATAAATTTCATGGATCAAAAAAAAGAAATTTCGAATTTTTAATCTTATTCGATAATCCTTATTTTAAGCACTACCATCGATTTTAAAAACATCATAGATTTAAGGCAATGACTGAAAGTTTATCCCACAAGTATATGAAAAGGGGACCGGACCAATAAATATTTATTAAACTATTAAAGCCAATAAAAACCTTTTACAAAAAAGTTTAACTAATAGGACGTTTGAAGTAGAATCAATGCAAATAAATTAAAGAAAGCCTATCTGAAATGACCGAAGAATATTCCGAAATATAACTTGGCTATGTATATCCAAATCAATACCAATTATGAGGATTTACAAATCTGCCTGAATGAAAAATTAGTATTTTGTAAAGTTAAGCCCCAGTTTGGCACATCTTCAATATCTTTCTAAATTTATTATTACAACTTGTACTTTCTCATTTTCGGTGTATTACAAAATTTTGAAATTTTAAGCTCAATGGGTATTTTTGTCAAAGTTTAATATATACTTTTTGCTGCCGAATTCAGTAAGAAAACAAAATACTTACTTAGAACGCCTCGCCCTTTCTTTAGTATACAATCATTTGTTACAATCACTTAATACGATCTTCGAAAAAGTCACTTGCCGTCGGCTCCGAATGCAATGGTAATTCAAGACCTCGATTAATATTAAAATTGACGATTAGGTGCAATAATTGGTAATGGCGAGATATTTGCCACCGGGCTGCCTAATGTGTCTCCGATTTGATGATGGCTATAATTTAAAGCACACAGTCAATGGGTCTGGCGCGGAATGTTTATGAAAATTGCACATTAAATCTTTGTTTTGTGGCCCAATAGTCTGTCGATTACAGGGTTATAGTTCCCGTTGTCGTTGTAAATGCTCGTTGTTATGGTTGTTGTTGGTTTATTATTTTAACACTTTCGAGAAAGAGCGCGCCGGCGGTGGCCGAGTGTTAGAGCCAGTTTTTGGCTTTGGTTTTGGAGTCCGAGGTGCGGAGCGTCATCGACTGAACTGAATGGTGTGCGAGTTCTCCGCTGTCTGTGAATCGCTGTTAGTTTCCAGGAATCGCAATCGCATGGCCCACTCACACTCACACTCGCCGTCAGACTCAGATACACTCGGATATACGACGCCGACGCCAAGAGTCACCCAGAGCGATGCCAATAAGGCTATGGACGATACCTATACCTATACCCATAGCCATAGGAAAATCGGCAAGAACAACAACGGCGAGCGTGACGAACGCGGGACGGGGTCCAAGAAAAACTTCGACTTCGGCTTCGGCTCTTGGGATCATAAATAGTAGATAAACAAATAAATAAGGTGGCGTGGGGAACAGCCTAGATATATGACGGGCATATATCTTTTTTCGAACCGCACCCGCACCCTTAAAGGCACACGCACACCCCACCACAATATTCCTCGATATTCTTCGATTTCGGTTCTTGGTCTTATTGGGGTTGCAGCTCCGTTCTGTTCCAGATACATAAATTCGCCGGCGACAGGAATCAACCACCGACCGTTGACGCCCCCGCCTCAAATATCCGTACTCGTATCCACATCTGTATCTGTATCTGCGCACTGCGCCCTGCGAAACAGTACCAGTCACTTGCTTATGGATACAGATACGGATACACTCCGTGCCACGTCGAAAATCAATCACCATCGACATCGACGGATGCATTTTATCGTGCGCAGACTCCGTTTTATGAAGCCCAACTTTCAGGGTGGACGCCCACATATCGCATGTGCTTACATATTTACTTTACCAGCACTTAGGGGCAGAATATAGGGGACATTAATTCACAAAGGCTGTCCAGATAAAAGGACGACCTGCCGAATAAGTTTGACCCTTAATGAAATCGAAAGTCCATAATCTGTAATGGAATAATTACAAAAGTCTTTAACCTCTGACCAAGTCAAAACAAATGACTTTATTTGAGTTGCTTTTATATTCACTTTCTTGTAATGGTAAGCATGTATTAAATTTGTATTTGTAATATTTCAGTATTGTTAAGAAGTGTCTTGTTTTATATTTCTCATTTCGGACCTTCAGCTATTAAATCTTTTAGTAATAAATTTAAATATTATAATTTCTATATATTTTTCACCCCATAGTATCCTTATTAATACAATTTTTTGCTTATATGAAAAAAATTGCTTATCAATAAATATTGGCCCAAGAACATATACACTTTATATAAAGGGTTCGGAAATGGCACCAAAAAGGTATCATCCTTAGCAAGGGTATAATAAGTTGCAACAATGTTTATGAAAATGTGGAAATGTTTGTAAACCAAAAATGGAAAGTAAGTTCCGTAATAAAATCGTACTACTGTCCACAAAATGACCGGATTGTGCAGCCTTGTGGGCGATCTAACTGGACATGGATGTGTGCTAATAGGAAAGCCCACAAAGGTAAGAGACCAGAACTCACACAGCTTGTGTCCCCAACAGACCTTTCTTCAGGTGTTGAGCAGGGGGTGGAGAGGTGGTGTAGAATGGTTAAGGGGTACCGGACACAGCGCCATCGACACGGTCCACAGAACCAGGTGTTTGCCTGCGAAATGTGTTGCAAGCTTTGTGTTTCGCAGACTGCGGACACTTCCTTAACCGGTGCCAAGATAAACCGCTAAGTGACTGCACAAACAACGCGTGCTAGAGTCGTACGACTAATCCAAATTGTTTGGGTTCCCTCCCTCAACACATCCATGTGAGGTACTTTGCGAACGAAGGAGAACTGGTGCTGTTACAATTTTTAGTTACACTTTTTCAAACCAAGTTCTTCGAATTAATTTAATATTTTTGAATCCTTTAAAATCCCCATTTATATACAAATTTTAACACAATGCATGGAAATTCCAACGCTAAAACCCCATCTGTTGGTTTTTTTAAAACATCCGCTTACTTTTTACCTTACTTAGACAGTAGAAAAACCTGACATCCTTTTAAAAACCAATTTCGTTCTTTATTATAATATAATGAGTAGATCTATTCAATATAATCACTTTTTAATATAACTTTCCTATATCTTACATTTTCAAATTTTTCAAAAGTAAATAGACCTATTCATTATAATCATTTGTTAATAGATCTTCCTTCTTTTATCTTACATTTTTTAAATATAAATAAAATAATGATGCTTTTGTGCATTTTTAGAAGAATTTATTTACTATGTTATGTCTAAGTGATTAAATTATTGTCTTATTGTAAGGTTTGTAGAACGGCAATAAGATCTAACTGGAGAAGTTGCCCTAATAGCGAACTAAGCAAATCGGTCACGCACTTCTTTTGCACCCACACTCCTTGCTATGCGACTTCGAGTCAAATATTTTGACGGTTTGTCAAAGAAGTGACAAGACAAACCCGCACCGGAACCGATAACGTGGGGCCCCAGAATTTGGCTGCCTGGATAGTTTTTGTTTCGTGTTCGGTCTCAACTCGGTTTCGTTTCTTCTTAAGTGCCGACCGTGTTAAAGGGGAAATCACACATTTGGTCCGATTTGCATTTGCTTGCGATTCCAGAAACCCGAGAGACGCCTACCCGGAGATTTACGATACCCAACCGATCTGGCGACGAAAACACGGCCACATTCGGGCTAAAACATCTTGGTAGTTTTCAGTATCCATCTGAGGTCGATGTGCGAAGTTGTCTCTCCAGGTTTGAGCTACTGTTTTGAACTCTCTATAAGGCTGATTCCCCCGGCATCAAAACGGAATTAAAGATGGCCATTGCCGCGAAATAACCGCTGCCTTGGCACCGGACGTCTTGATACTTATCGCGAGAAAATGGAAAATTCGATGTCGCCATTAACATTTATTGCTACTTTGGGAAAACTCGATTACACCACCACCGCGCACATTGCAATGCCATTGCACAGCCGCCATTTTATGAGACGCGCCTGGGCACTTATGGCATCATCAGGACCTCGAGGGGATGATCCGGGGCAGGATGGCAGGATAGCTGGGGAGCTGGAGAGCTGGCAGTCCTCGTAAAACGGATTTTGCGCTTAGTCAGGATGCGTGCAGCAGTTTTATGGACCGCTCCGGCACTCGGGAAAATGTATACAGTTTTCCGTTTACAACCTTCGCGCTCCACTGCGCCTGCAGCCTCCGTCGTTTGCCATAAAATATCGAAATGTTCGCAGCCATAAAAGTTTATGAGTGCAGGCACCCAAATTGGAACTGGCCAAGCTCCGAGATCCAGGACACGGGGTGGAAACTTGTCAGAACTTAACATTCGGCCAGCTGGCAAGGCAAACTCTCCGGAAATGGATAAGTATGTGGCATTCTCGGTGGTCACCATGTTCTGGCTGCTGGTCGCCATCATTGGATTCGTGGTATCCTACAGATACGAGGAGCGCGGTATCATCCGGTGCTGTGTGATCCTCACCGCCGTCTGCTGCTACTTGGCCTGGCTGGTCACCTTCCTGATGCAGCTGAATCCTTTGGTCGGACCGCGGGCCAGCCAGAAGATTATCTACGGCATAATGACCTACTGGCCCAACTCCTTTGTCCACGACCAAAAGGACCCATAACACTGCTGCAGATTGTATATTTTTAATGTGTGAATAAAAAGAAATTGTATTTTACAGGCCCACAAAGAAAATATTTCAGCTAATTTAGAATTATTAGATATTTTCCACATTAGTAAAGCGAATAAATCGGTAAAGATAGATATCAAAATTCAACCAACTTCAAGCAACAACCACAATCTTAATCTTATCTTTTACAGTACCGCTTAGATTTAAACACTGAATGGAATGGAATTCAATAATAAATTTAACTAATCTCAATAAATAAAAACATTGGCAGCAACACTGATGTTCAACCATATTTTTCTTAACCTTCCAAAAATCATTTAATTTATTACACCTTATAGAAATATATTGTAGAAAACTTGTTTTTAAAAATGCCAAATTGTCTCAGATCTCTGGATCCAGGCAGCATTGCAGCTCATCCACAAAATCGACGATCTTTACGAAGTTAGGATGCTTTTGCAGGCACTCCCCAATTAAGTCAATGGTGCTAGAAACACCTAGGGATTGGGCAACATTAACGCCGTATGTTAAGGTCTCCTTGGGTTCCTTTCTGAGCAGATATGTGCTTTCAATTTTATCAGGGTGATAGGAGTGAATGATGGCGCATAGAGCTCGACCACTTGTCCAGGAAGCACTGAACTCGTACATGGGAAGACCGTAGGGTTTGACTTTCAGTTGGCACCAGCGGAGCAGACTAAGTCGTCGATCGCCAAAGGTTTTCCCCAGGTACTTCGGTATCCCAGTGGAAGTGGAAGCTGTGGATCCGACTATTCCTAGACCGACTGCGAAATATCCATTAACCACAGATTTAACCTGATCCCTTGACGAAACCCGGATCAAACACATATCAGAGATAGTAGGAGTCAACAGAGGAAAGGGCTTGTATATCTTGTCCCATACAGCCTGGGAAAGCTGCGGTATCTTCACAGGATTCTTTGACAAACGACGAGATGAACATTTAAAGCAGCTTGTACTTGGTTTTAGTACCTTGGTTGGCGGATCTTTCAGACAGGTCCGCTTCCACATCTCTCGAACCATAAATAGGTTGTTAAAAACGGAATCCAAAAGCCGGCTCCATTTAAAGCTGCAATCCGGGAATTTAAGACGGTTGTAATGAGATAAGATTTTGAGGGACTTCTTAATGACGTTAAGGGTACGTTTCCTCTTTTTTCGTAGCCGCCGCATTTGATTAACTTCGGAAAAGCTGTCTTTTTGTAACCCACGTCGCAGCTTACCTTTCCCAAAGCGAAGGTCATCTATGTCCTTCTTGATCACGGATATTGAAGACTTGGCTTCCACCAAAGTTACTTTTTTTTGACTAAGGCGGTGCTTTAACTTTTTAAGAGTTTTCTGCTGCGAAAGGTTTAGCTTTGATGAGTTCATAATGGGCTTTATCCCTCGACTGGAAATTTTGCATTTCCTTTTGTCAACGTGCACATTCCACATCCGCAGGCTTCCTTCTGTATACTGATTTTTGGAAAATGGCTTTTGCATTTCCTTGAGTTTTTCATTCTGTTCAGTTAGGATCCTTAGCTTGAGCTCAGATTGCGATAGACTTTCCTCGAGTGCCTTGACGCGATCCTGCTCCTCGGAGAGCTGTCTTTCGGCGGTCAGCTGACCATTACGTGCCTGAAGGACCAAAGTCCGCTCTTTCGATATCATCAACCTGTGACCTATTATTTCCAGCTCCCGACTTTTCTCTGCACGTAACAACTTCAGACGCAATTCATTCAACTCATCCGTGGGACACTCATTTAAGGGAGTTTCCGTGTTTATATGGACTGCATCCTTATATAAATCCTGTGATGGGATCCTTGGGATTCCCTGACTATAGTGTCAAGCTCAAAGAGGACACTGTTAACGTGTAGCTGAAAGACGGATTGATTCGCCTTGCTAAGTCTTCCCTCAGTCTGAAACAGGGGCAGGATCGAAGAAAGTCGCCTTATGTTCCGATTACCTGGGAATATATATGCATAGAGAATTATGTCATTCCTCGCAAGAACTCACATTGTGCCAAGATTACGGAATTTGCGGCCTTGTCCTGCTCGCAAAATTCATCACTTTCCACAAATCTCTCCCGCATGGACCTCGTCAACAAAATTATCTTCCCCAAACAGCTCCTTATCACAAGAACTCCATTGCCGCTCCCATCCCCAGTTTCTTCACTTAATTGCGTCTCATTTTGATCCTTCAAATCGGACAGCATGGCCCTTATTTGGCTTATATGTTCCTTTATCAGGGAACCCATCGCCACTGATAATTAACTAAATAAATGGTGGGATATATTGAAATAAAAAACCTTTAGATTTTTTTTTATAAAATTATGACATTTGACAAATATAGCTACTGAGGATTTTTGTAAAGATTATATGAAATGATGTTATAATCTTGACCGATCGAAAACTTAAAACCGAAAGTAGTTTGTTTTTAAGTTTTAGCCAAAGTGCATATACATATCTAAACGCGTCACTCGTAGAGTGGGATACCTCTATGATTTTGTTGAATTCTTAAATAATCTCATTTTTCCCATTTTCATGTTCGACTTTTCTGTATTTCCAAAGGCTTTCAGAATGGGAACACCGAACTACACTTCAAAATTTCATATCTTTGTTAATTGGATCCCGATTATCAAGTGGGATACCTCTATGAATTTGTGGTTGAATTATTTTATAATCTACATTTACATATTTCTATTATACGGGGGTCTCAATTTTGAACCATTTTCATGTGCGATTTTTCCTAAAATCCAATGGCTTTCAGAATGGGATCCCAAAACTGCACATCTACATTTCATAACTTTGGTAATTGGATCGCGATTGTCAAGTGGGATACCTCATTGAATTTGTGGTTGAATTTTCTTATAATCTACATTTAAATATTTCTATTATACGAGGGTCTCAATTTTGACCCATTTTCATGTGCGATTTTTCCTAAAATCCAATGGCTTTCAGAATGGGATCCAAAATCTGCACTTCCAAATATTATAACTTTGGTAATTGGATCGCGATTATCAAGTGGGATACCTCTATGAATTTGTGGTTGAATTCTCTTATAATCTACATTTAAATATTTCTTTTATACGAGGGTCTCAATTTTGACCCATTTTCATGTGATATTTTTCCTAAAATCCAATGGCTTTCAGAATGGGAACCAAAAACTGCACTTCAAAATTGCATAACTTTGGTAATTGGATCGCGACTATCAAGTGGGATACCTCTATGAATTTGTGGTTGAATTTTCTTATAATATACATTTAAATATTTCTATTAAACGAGGATCTCAATTTTGACCCATTTTCATGAGCGATTTTTCCTAAAATCCAATGGCTTTCAGAATGGGATCCAAAATCTGCACTTCCAATCATTATAACTTTGGTAATTGGATCGCGACTATCAAGTGGGATACCTCTATGAATTTGTGGTTGAATTTTCTTATAATCTACATTTAAATATTTATATTATACGAGGTTCTCAATTTTGACCCATTTTCGTGTGCGATTTTTCCTAAAATTCAATGGCTTTCAGAACGGGAACCAAAATCTGCACTTCCAAATATTATAACTTTGGTAATTGGATCGCGATTATCAAGTGGGATACCTCTATGAATTTGTGGTTGAATTTTCTTATAATCTACATTTAAATATTTCTATTATACGAGGGTCTCAATTTTGACCCATTTTCATGTGCGATTTTTCCTAAAATTCAATGGCTTTCAGAATGGGATCCAAAATCTGCACTTCCAAATATTATAACTTTGGTAATTGGATCGCGATTATCAAGTGGGATACCTCTATGAATTTGTGGTTGAATTCTCTTATAATCTACATTTAAATATTTCTTTTATACGAGGGTCTCAATTTTGACCCATTTTCATGTGATATTTTTCCTAAAATCCAATGGCTTTCAGAATGGGAACCAAAAACTGCACTTCCAAATATTATAACTTTGGTAATTGGATCGCGATTATCAAGTGGGATACCTCTATGAATTTGTGTTTGAATTTTCTTATAATCTACATTTAAATATTTCTATTATACGAGGCTCTCAATTTTGACCCATTTTCATGTGCGATTTTTCCTAAAATCCAATGGCTTCAGAATGGGAGCCAAAAACTGGACTTCTAAATTTCATAACTTTTGCAATTGGACTGCGATTATCAAGTGGGATACCTCTATAAATTCGTATTTGAATTCTCTAATTATTTGCATTTAAATATTTTATTTATCTAAGGGTCAACTTTTTAATCCATTTTCATGCTCGAATTTTCCGTCTTTTCAGTGACTTTCAAAATGGGAAGCAGAAACTCAATATCTTGAGTTCACGAATTGAGCAGCGGGCGCTTTTTGAACTAATATTAAGAGTGAAACGCCACCTATATGTATAGCAACCAGCTTGTGTCTATGAGCGTTTTTAACTGCTCACACCCCTTAAACCCCGTTAAACCAACCCCTGAAACTAAGACCCATTATTTTCGCAAAACCCTTATTTTAAAATTTGTGTATATTCATATTTATTTTCTAATTAATATCAAAATTACACAACGAGAATAACATGATAAAACATAAAATACTGATTAATATCTGTGAATGAAATAAAAATTGTTTATTAAGGAGATGGTTTTTAAAGAGAATAAAAGTTACCAACCTGTAGTAATTTGCTTTGAAAGGCCCGGCTTTGTTTAAGCCCATGAATTTTGCCTGCTCATCTGTGAGCTCCGTTAAATGGGCATCGAAAGTGGCCAGATGCAAACTAGCCACATATTCATCTGCAATTACAGATTCAATTAATATTAATTTGTATACTGTATTAATTTGTAAATACCCATTTTCTTTGGCAGCAAATAGACATCCGACTTGTATCTTCCTGGCGCTGAGAAAAGTTCAATGAGAGCCAGGGCCTGAGTGGAGGACGCCACGGATACCACAAACGAAGAAATTGTGGAGCAGGAGAGATTCACCAGTCTTCCCTCGGCCAGCAGAATGATCATCCTGCCGTCGGGCCAACGGATGTGGTCAACTTGGGAACGCACTCGCTCCCACGTCAGCTCCGGGGTATGCAAGCCATTCTAAAATGAAAATAAAAATATTAAACTATCTCTAGGATACTCAGGTAATCCCTGATACTCACCACATCAATCTCCGAGCAAGAATGTCCCATGTTGCAGAGGATACAGCCATTCTTCATGCGATTCATGTGATCCCGGGTGATTACATTTTTGTTACCCGTTGCCGTTACCACCACATCACGTTCCTTATGACTTCGTTGAGCCGCACCACCCGGAATCCATCCATGGCAGCTTGAAGAGCGCATATGGGATCCACCTCCGTTATATAGACTATGCAGCCTTGACCCTTTAGAGACTGGGCACAACCTTTGCCCACATCCCCATAGCCACAGATCACAACTTGCTTTCCACCAAACATAATGTCCGTGGTACGCTTCAGACTGGCAGGAGATTATATAGGAATATTATTAATCTATATCAATAATATTGTATACTTTAATGTTTGGAACTCACCTGTCGAGTATGGAGTCGCGACACGTGTAGAAAGTATCAAACTTGTTCTTGGTTACTGAATCATTAACGTTGATGGCCGGAACGGTGAGTTTCCCCCTTGGAGAGCATGTACAACCGATGAACCCCGGTCACACTCTTCCACAATGCCCCGGATGGCTTGAAGTACTCCGGGTACTTCTTCAGCAGCAGGTGCGTGGCATCCCCGCCGTCGTCCAAGATCAGGTTGGGCTGCCAGCCTTCAGAGTAGATGGCTTTGTCCAAACACCACCAGAATTCCTCCTCCGTCTCCCCGCGCCAGGCGAAGATTGGGATTCCCGCCTCTGCCAGAGCAGCGGAAACGGCGTTTTGGGTGGAGTATATGTTGCAGGCTGCCCACGAACAGAGGCACCCAGTTGGACCAGAGTTTCGATCAATACCGCCGACTGCGCATTGACATGGGTGCATCCCACAATATGGGCTCCCTTCAGGGGCTTCTCATCCTTGGCCCTTTCCGCAGCGTCATAATGCCTGGCATCTCCGACTCCGCGATCTCGATCTCCCGCCTTCCAAAGGCGCTCTTCGAAATGCTCTTCACGCAAAAGTCGGTCCCGCCGGCGGAGTTGCGCTGCTGGTTGTCCTTCGGAGAGATCTCATCCTCGTCGGAACTTCCAGTGAAACAGGCTGTCAGGGAGATCAATCAATTATTTAATGTTCTTAATATTTTATATTATTAAAAAAAGTAAAAAAACTGATTTTTTGGCCAATCGTAAAAGTCTTTACGTTGCATAAGAAAATAAAATGAAAGTTAGAATTATTTCTTGGTTATTACAATTTATATAATAACATCACATTTTTTGTCATTTAAAGTTGTGTACTTACTGGAGCTAAACGAACAGGTGGAGACATCAGAAAACCGTCGAGCTTCAATACTGGACTTTTCACTGCCGTCTGTTAAAATATATGTATGATCTTATTAATCAAATGAAACCAAAAGAAAAGTAAGCTAAGTTAGCCTAACTCTGTTTGTAGAACTTATGATAACAGCTGCCAAGTAAACATCTTAAGAGATCACTTAGTTTATCTTCAAGCTAATGTCAAAATAGGGGTAAATAATAAGCAGCTACTATAAATAAATTTTTTTCAGCATTTAACAATTATGTATATAAAGAAACTCTTTATCCGTATAGTTTAATGTATACTCGTGCATATTTTAGCATGATTTTCAAGTGTTAATAACACAAAATACAGCTAATCAATTTGATTAGGCTCCCTTGACTAACTAGATACCCCGTATAATCAAAGGTAATGGCACCGATTCACAGGCTCATGAATTTATTGCACTTTCCAATTAACAAATTGCCATGGACCACAAGGCATCCAAAATCGCACATATGTATAGTATATGGATTGATCAATTTCTGATGAGAATCTCATTTCTGCGCAGTTTCCAGCCAAATCTAGATTTAAGTGCAAAGAAAAGCCGAAGGGAATACATTCGAGGCTGGTCACTAATTGGCTTCATTTAGCATACCGGCGATAATTCGTCGCGCCAATTGATTCAGAGAAGTATGAAATCGCGAATATATGTAGATTCCGAATCCGGACCGCCATCGGTTGCTTCCCGGAGTGTATGTAAACAGTCGAATTAATAAAATCTACGACTGTATACCTTGTCCATTGTGTCTATTGTTGTTTACGTTTCACTGGCCATATGGAATAAACATGAACTTGTATCTAGAACATAATATTTTTCTATGATCTTAACGAGCCAGCAGATCAATCTTTTGATTAGAAGTTGCAAAGTCTGCAGGCTAATATATGTAAGATTTACTGGGGCCATGTGGTGTTTTGTATATCTGGGATTTTTTCAGCTTACACATTATATTTGGGATAATTAAAATTGCTTGACCCCCATTACAGTTCCTTAATTAAAGGTGTTTTACTGGATTTGTCATTCGATCACTTTCACAAAGGGTATTAAAAGCTTCGAGGTGAATGTCTCGCATTAATTTATTGTTCAGAGAGCGTCTTTGGGGCTTTGTTGTTTGTTTGCCGAGGTGTCACGTGCTGTTTTTTATATTAATCGCCAAGTTCAGCGATAGAAACGAGTTGTGTGAATCTGGCCAATCCACCTACTGGCTTTAAGTGGCTAATAAATAATCACTATGATATTATTCCCATTGTTATATTTACCTTATCAGCCAAGCTCAGGTCGGCAAACGTTGTCTCCGGCATTTTGGACATTTTGAAGGCACTGAGAGCAGATAAAAAAGAAAACAAAAAGTAAAGCCAACAGTTCGAATAAAAACAAACAAGCGTGTCAGTGCCAGAAATTATTCAAAAAGAGCGAACGACCTTCGGGGACTTACATTTAGACGTATCCGAAACAGGTTATAAAGTATGCTCGGCTTTGTCGCGCTTTGTTCCGACTTCTTACGTTCTATGCACCCCGGAGACCAGCTCTAATCATCCAGTGCAAGTGTTGGATATCACTTAGACTACTATTTTATATCCTATATGGTATATTCGGCGGAGGCACAACGTCAGTTCGGTTGGGGATCTCCGATCAGACTAGATTCGCCCGCGTTCGAATTCAAACGAGATCGCCAATCGATCGATTCCGTTCTCGGTCTGTATTTGCCTTATGTATTTGTATCTGGGCCGATCCGATCTCCACGGACCGTCCGCTCACGACTGAGGCAAACAACAAACTGACTCACTGCACCGGGTTTATAGGGAGCAGCACGATCGTATAGAAATAAAGAAATACGGCAAGTAAAAAACGAAAACAAAATCCAAAAACACAACAAGACCACGAAGCGTGTATCAGCAGCGGTTCAAATAAAAGATCGCCACATTTATGAGAATCTTATCACGCCGCTGGCTCTTATCGCTCCGTACCCCGGTTGAGCTCCCCTCTCGTATTCCCCTTAAGTACCTATCATGATCCAACTTCACCCCATGCAGTATTCCAGAGATTACGGAAATCAATTTCGACTCTGACGTAGGCGAAGTGTCCACTCGGATAAGTGGATTCCATTATGCAGCTAGCCACTTACTAGCTGGAGAGTTCTTGAAGTCGAGCTGCCGTTCTGAAAAACTTAATTGAAAATAAATCTGTAATAATAAGGCAGACGGTGTCTTATCTGTTAGCTCTAGGCATATTTTGGTAGCCAAGTGTAGTAGCTTTTTAATGAGATCATTATAGAACAATAATGCTCTCATGAGACATCATTGTTATCAGCTCTTAAAAAAAGACTATTATTTTAAATTTACTGTCGTGTTATGATCGTATTAATATTACCTACGAAGCTTGAACTGCAAGACTACTTTAAAACAAAGAAAATTATAAACCATAATAAAAAGCATAAACCAAAGATATAAAGCTGTTAGGAACATTAGCTATATATGTTAGCTTTAAATTTCTTTTTGTTAAAATAAATATTAGGTACAAATAACATTTATATTTAAAAGAGGTAAAACTTTAACTTTCTTTCTTTAAATTTTCTCCAATTAGTTTTTCAACGTAGCTTGTGTGTTTACAGGGGGTTGGTCGTTAAATTTGCTTTCTAACGTTCTATTCGGCCATTTTTCGCGAACGTTACCCAATGATTTGATGCATTACATTTTATAGGTTGTTCGTGCGCTTTTAGCTGGCCATAAAGAGGGAAGAATTTTAATCAAGGCACCGAAATGGGAATTACGCCATCAACCCTCAATGGAAAATCCCGGCCAAGGGATGCTGGTTAGGGGATGCAACATCTGCGGGGGATGATTGTTACCTCAAATTGGTCCACAGCTAGGGGTTAGGAAAATTCATTATGTGAATTCGACGGTCTAATTGGTTGCTTCAATTCCAAGTAGTATCTCCAAAAGAAGTGGCCAACGCATTGTGCGTGATAAACATTTATTATACCAGCTTCTGTTCAAAATTCTCGTGATCTTGTAATAGTTTATTGCTGTGCATTTATTGCTTATGCGATCCTTTTTTTCATTAACAAAAGATAACACTTTAAAGGGCAAGTAATTTCGTTTATTCCATTAACTATCTTTGTGATATTCCATATGACTAAACTTAAGAGAATTTTACACGTCCTAAAATACAATCCACATTCCGTAGTTTGGCATTAGCAGTCACTCTTATTGCACAAAGAGTTTTTCAAACTCTAACTTTATAAAAACCACTGCGTTTAAAGTCTATTTACAACGTACGTACTATTTACAAATAGATAAATCTACGCTTGTTTATGTACAAGAGTCTACTTAATACCGTCAAGGTACCTATATACAAGAAGTCCGTGCTTTTGGGCTTCGTTTTTCAGAGCGATCCCACTTTCTCCATTAAATACCAGGGCAGGAATACGGAGGCGGCAACCACGGCCACACAGGTGGCACACATGGCCACCGTCGCCGAGAGACTTGTGATGGAGAAGTGGTCCTCCTTGTCCTCGAGCTCCTCGTGGGGATGCTTCTCGAACTCCAGGACCTCGACGTCGAAGCGAAACCGGACTTTCGACTCCGGAGAATCCTTGCGCCACACCAAATGACCAGAGGACTCACGGCGCTCCAGGCTCCATTTCGGATCGTGGACTAAAAGGTTAATAAATAGAAAAAGGTTTAATTTTAGAATATGTGATGATGCTCTAATTCTTTTCATTTATAAGAAAATATAATAAAAATAAAAATACATTGAAGGAGTGCATGGAATTAAAGATTAATTAGACAAAAATTAAAAACAAGCTGAAATACCACTTAGTAAGCCAACAAAGTATCTTGGCCATTAAATTTATTTCCAAATGTTCTTTAATTCTTTTATATTTTGTATGGTTTATTGCTGTACAAGCTTATTAGCTCGACCAAGCTTATTATACACAACGATTCTACATTACTCAAAAATTAATAGTGCCCCATAAGTATGCTTTAAAATGTAATTCCTGACATTGCGTCAAACGGATCGTGACATTTTAAATGAAAGTAGTAAAACAGCTATTTTAAAAATTACTTATTCCACATGTATGTGATCTGTCTACAAAGTATAATATCCTCTTTTTTGATGTCAAGTTAATTGCTTCGATTTAAATATTTACCTGATCCAGTCATTCTGCCTTTTTGGGAGTAAGTTCAACTCGAAACCCTGAAATTGAACAAAAAAATATCATTGAATAAATTAATTGAAAAGCACTGCGTATGTAGACACCGATTAAATTAAGTGTTTGTTATTGTATTTCGAGAAACGTTCTGATACCCATAAGTAATCACACGTTCTAGGTGAAGTACGACGAACTAATTAGCATTCCAGGCACACGATCAATTAGTACTCACACTTCCCGACATTCGCGAAATTAAAATGGAACACGTCGGTTAAGTGTATGACCCTGTCCTTCCATCGCTCAAATGTCGCCAGTGAATTAATTGGACGCTGCCCGTAGTGAAGCTATATTTTCCCACATGACGAGTACTTTCTGTGTGATATTCCATTAACCCGGCGTGTGTTCGCATAGACTTTAGTCGGCTGAAATTCCACTTGGTTAAGACCCAGACCCTCAAAAATGTGGTGGGGAAGGTGGGGAAGACGCCACCTGACTTTTTACCTTTCCTCTGTTTACACGTCGCCAGCATTGATTTTATTTTACTGTCTTTTTTTGTCATGAAAAGGTGGTGCCACACACGAGGGCAGAAGGCAAAAATCAATCACGTTCGGCACTTTGTACTGGTGGCAAAAAGTTTATCACACGGGGTGTTTAAGTAATCAATAATTGTAAATATTGCAATTTTGATAAGCACTAAACGAGCGGTTGACCACGAAATTACCAAAGAGTTGCTTATCTAATTCTCAGTTTTTATTGAGTCACTGGCTATTTTTGACAAAAGGGAGAAGCAATTCATTGTTTCTATTTTCTGTGAGTTGGTAACCAAGCATTTATTGTATTTTAATATTTTTTATCAAAGTAGGCCCAGGCCATTTCCATAGATTTTTAACTTACAATTACGTAAAGCCTTGAACCGTGACTATATTTTAAATGAAGAGGTAACCTTGCTTATATGGATATCCAAGCGATAGCCTCCAATGTCGAAAAACAAGACGATAAGTGACGGACTTTAATTTAATTTACCACTATCCTTATCTTTAGGCTCTGCCGATTTGGCTTATACCCAAATTTGTAGGAAGTCTATTTGGGATAAAAACAGATGCGATTGTGAAAAAACTCCCTCATGTGCATGACGCAAAGCGGGGCGAAAAATAAAAATAAACCAAAAGAAAGAAGCAACAAACAAATTGAACTTTTCGTATTGTCTTTTCGGATACCCGGTACTTAACAATTATTTTTAGACTGCTCTTTCACTTGGATTGGTATAATAAATCAAAATTGGATAAATAATAATATGGGTTCTTGATTGTGTTTCTGAAAAAGTAAAATGAATCAATACGCCCTGTTGTTAAGGGGTATACAAGAATCTGAACACATGCTGCCTACGTTTTTGAATGCGGTTTTTTGCATATTTTACTTGGTGCTCGGTATTCCGAAGTGACATCGAGAAAGGTCGCAATGCCAAATTAGCATTCACGCATTGTAGACTGCCCTTGAAATCCGGCATTACGACAGCTTACAAAACGATTCTCCTGGTTCCACACGATCTATTTAATGTTCTTAAAACATTCGATCTTCAACACACATGGTGACAGTTCAAATAAACCCTTGATCCAAGTATTTGCTTACGTTGGAGAGCACTAATATTTAGCTACTCACGTTTAAAACACTATACTGGTTTGGTTTCTAGCCCGATCAGTACGAATTTAGCACATTTCGCCACCGGATAATAAACTTTGGCGATTGCCCGCACGATCGGCATGGAGAGTGATCGGTCTATGGCGATTTGCGAGTCTGACACAGGGCTTTTTAATGGACTTTGGTCTTATACAATGCGATTCTTTGTGACTACTACGCAAGTATCTGCAATAATACACCGCTTACACACGAATGGCCCCGGGTTCGATCGCTTTGCATGACATAAAGCCCCAAGCGATCAGATGTATTGGTGTTTTTAATTGGTTTTCCTATTTTTGTTGCTGCTCTGATAAGATTCACAAAGAAACGGCAACGTCAGCTGAGCACTTTTAATCAATGAACTCACTCGTTTCGCAGATGCCCATTTCCACTTGAGTCCGTCCGGCCACAGTGGGCACTTGCTAAATACAACACCAAATAGAAGAGTGTCACGGCAACACTCTTGGCACTTTGAGCTTTTTAAGCCAAAACCTGATTTGACCAATGCCATTATTATGCACATCCACATGCACGGTTGCGCAAGCCACGCTCCACTGTCCCACAGTAAAGCCGCTAAGACAGTGGAAATAGTTAGTTTCCACAATTGCGAGTCGCAATCCGACACAAATCGGCATTTAAATTCACTGGAGGTAATCACGCGCCCGCGATAAGAGCGAAAGACCTCTTTCGGTGAATTGATATTGAAGTGTGTTTGTACATACAAATCTACATCGTACGACTATGTTGTCAGTTAATCAATAAATATGTGGGGGTTCTCGCACCGACAAAAAATATTTTAATATATTCATTTTTAATGATTAAAAAAAAGGGTTGGTGACCTATATTCCCTTTTAAAATATATTCACTATCTATTCAAAAAAAATTGACTAATATGGGAAACTTTTAACATTTTAAATTAACAATCAAATAAAAATATCAAATGAAATATGGTCAATTATGATGTGTCATTGAAACTAATCCAGTTATTAAGTTACACCATTTTAAAGTTAAACACTTTTGAATTGGTGAATAATTTCGGATGTGGCCCACATATTACAAATTAGATTGTTTTCATGTCATTAAACAGGGAATTTTCAACTTTCATTATCACAGTCTGGTGAGAAGTTTTTTCCCTGTATCAGAATCGATTTTATGGTTGTTGGGGAGGTGGTGGTGGTGCCACTGGCAACCCGAGTAATCAATAACAAACTCAGTTTTTGTTATGCTCGCATGTTCAATTGCATTTTTATGTAAACCCAGTCGTGTTTTTGTTATTACCGCTGCGATTTGAAGTGACTCGATTTGCAACTCGAGGCCAAGCGCCGATTGAAAATTAGTCAACAGCTGTGCACCGCCGCAAAAAACACTCGCACACACTCTCGAAAAGTCGATTCGATTCGATTCGGATCGATCTTGCTGAGCTTTTGCCGCGTGTAGGCCGCGCCGAACTATTGGGGTCTAGAGCGTGGAGCTGACTGCCGACCAATTGCTCACCATGCTCCATTCCAGCCCCAGCGGAACCCAGTACCAGAGTACCAGGCAGCTTTACGAGCGGTACGCGAGGGGGCCGATTGTTTCAGTAGCGCTGAGAGCGAAAGTCCGCCGGGGGCTCGCCCCTCGCGCTCATTCCACTATATCATATCGTCTAGTGGTATGGCATAGTAGTGCCTTGCTTTGGCCACTTGTTCGAGTCTCTTACGAGTGCCTATGAGTAAATTAACTTAATGAATGAGTGTGCGATTCGAATTAAAACTTAGAGAAAAAGCCAAAGACGTCAGATCGGAATGTTACGATCACTATTTAAGGTGTAGCCACAGTGGAGCTTCTAAAGTCCAAACCATCAAATAGTATGTAAAGATTATAGTTAAAATTTGTACACCCATTTATTTTTATTAATATACATTTTTAAAAAGTTTAAAACAGAACAACCATAACACAGAACAAAATCGTAAGACTCCTTATAGGCAAAGTAAAAATAAATTTAACTGGTGCCGTGCTGTAAAGCTATATTAATGTCACATAGCAACATATTTTCACGTTTTCCTTATGTTTCCGCCTGAAATCGACTTGACAATCGGTCAACGCTTCTGGCACATATAAACAAAAACACAAAAATCAATTTATTGCGTACAAAGTGTAAACAATATTTACAGAGTTTGTTTACACTTCTTACACCCTTATAAATAAGGTTTTTAATATGCATTCCCATATTATTAATAAACAAAAATATTTTACTTTACTGGGGCTACTTATAATACTTTTGATAGCAAGTTCCCATCTTAATAATTATGACCAATCGTTTCTAACCACGTAATTTATAAAAATGCATTTCACTTCACTTCATTTCCGACTTTGATAAAAGGTATTGATATTATTCGTAAAAAGTTGAGATAAGAACTCTTACTAAAAGTACATCAAATTTGCCAAGACGCTTGATAAACGGATACCTAAATAGTATACTAATCATTTCCAAGAACTAACATACCCTGTCCATAGATACTTCCACGGCAGAGTATCAGCATCAACAAAGAGAAAACAATAGAGTTCTGTTCCTCGTACTTTGTTTTGTTGGTGTTTTCGACCTATGTTTGTATGTATGTCCATTTACACTTGCTAATCTGAGCGAGTAATTTTACACTGAAATAAAAATAGGAATTATTCAAATAAAAATACATTGATTCAGATTTAAAATTAATTATAATTCATTAATTGGTTAATTCATGGTTCAGAATGTTTTACGACATACATAAAATTATAATTATAAAAATAAAAATAAATTATTTTTAATTCCATACTATTACTTATAACGATAAAGATATCATACTGTAAATTTCAAAAATAAAAGTCTAAACAAAAATTTATAATTATGCTTATAACGATAAAGATATCATGTTGTAAATGTCAAAAATAAAAGTTTAATTAAACATTTATTTCGAGTGTATTTTGAGGTCTCTGGGTAATTGTGACCACCGAGATGACAATTGTTTCAATACACACACATATTCGGTTGTGTTTGCTTGGGGAGCGAAAGACTCAGATAATCTTCGCGGAGCGAGAATCAGTGTAATTTTTCCTCAGTCTGCCGCTGACTTTGGACCAAAATAAATATATTCTGACGGTCTCCCAATCCCAATTGGAATATTCTGGGACGAGGATTACTTACTAGTTATGAGGATTACGCGCCGTTATGTCTGGAACATCGACCTCTGAACGCTCCAACTCCGAGGACAGGTGAGAGTCGTTGGGTTCCCAAAATTCCAGATAAAAGTGTTAATTCCCGATTCTAGCCCATTGAATCCGTGCCTGACGGAGGTGCTCAGGACCTGTGCGAACATCCAGTCGATAGAGAGCTTAAACTACGAATATAACGACGTTTTCCTGACCGAATCCAACGAGGGAAAAATGATAACGCCAAATCCGTATTCCTTCAGTGGGAACATTTCCATAAGTAGTTGTCCAAGCGAAGATGTTTCCTTTACCGAGAGCATTCTGGAGAATGGACGCATATCGCTGGCCTATGAGAACCTAAAGACCATTCCCCGACGACTGGCAGACAAATTCGCTGCACAGACAAAGTTCCTTGATTTGAGTCACAATGATTTCAGAAATCTAAGATTTCTCTCCTTTTTCGAGGATCTGGACACCTTGATTTTGGACCGCAATGTAAACCTGGACATAAATACTTTTCCCTATTTACCAAGCTTGAGGATCTTGTGGTGATTTGGAGGGATTCTGTAGAAGGGTTTCCAAGTACTAATACCTTGTGTTTTGCAGGATTAACAATTGCGATATAGCAAACATCACTGACTGGATACACCGCATCGAACGGCAGTGTCCTGCTTTAGATCAGCTCTCTTGCATGGGAAATCCTGGCATCCGGACAGTTTTCGGGGGCCAAGGACCGCGTGATTATATCCTGCAGGTGCTCCCACAGCTGAAATATCTGGATGGTCTGCCGGTTAGCAGCGGGAGTGGAGGTCATACAGCACTCTCCTCTTCGCAAGGACACGGTCAAGACTCCACTAGCAACTCGGAGAAGCCAATGCCCGCA